ATAATAATTAATTTTTACGTTTTTAAAACGTCAAAATAAAATCATCAATTTTACGGCTTTTAAAATTTTCATATATTAATTTCAACCATATATTTTCAAAATTTTACACTTTAAAAATAAGCTATTTAGGCTTCATGACTTTTTTACTGTTTCTTAAAATAAATTTTTAATATAAAAATTAAAATTTGTGTACTATAAAGCTGCTTTAAGAAGCAATAAAAAAGCCATCCCGTCTTCGTTTGTGATGATTTTCTTATTGTCTTATGAAGCAAGTTTTTAATAAAAAAATTAAAACTTTTGTACTAAAAAATTGTTTTAAAAAATAATAAAAAAGATGTTCGAAACTTAGCCTTAATCTCTAATATTACACGTATCTCAAATCTCGACAATACCTTCTTAAGAACCATGGATTCCTCAGTACACAGTACACAAGAGCACTTTAAAAATGAATCACTAGGTTAGGAAATTACACTAAAAATTAATTAGTGACTCCTAGATAATTAAGTTTATTTAAAAAATATTTTATATGAACAATTAATTAAAATTTAAATATATTTATTTCAAAATAAATTTAAAAACTTTGAGATTGATAATGCTACTCATTTAATAAAAATTAAGTTTAATTCAAATATTTCAATCTCAATTTAGGCTTCCACTATTTTCTTATGATTTTTATGCGGTTGACCGTTGACCTTCCTGAGTCCTGGCTTAAGTGGCTTGAGGGATTTACTCTATTTTCTGCTTTGAGCTATATTTTTGGTTTTCTCTAGTAGCATATAATTTGGTTGATTTTGGCTCCCTCCTTTTTCGCTAAGGGATTAAATGTTTTGTCTTTAGATTTGTCTTTTTTCTATGATTTTGGCTCTGCTATCTGAGCTGGCTCCTCCAATTTCAGGAGCTTGGTTTCTTTTCTTACATTTCGTCGCGTAATTTCTAAGTTTTTAATATAAGGTTTCCCTCATTCGCTTTAGGACAGTTTGATGACTGCTCAGAATAATTTCTCTCATTTCAAATAATTTTTTAACATTGTTTGATACAATTTTTTTCACTAATTTTATAAATTTTGTACTGAAAAATTACTATATGAAGTAATAAAAAATTATCCCATAGGAACTCTTATTGCTTCACTTGTTAAATTATAATCATAAAATTTATTTAATTACTAAAATTTTCACTATTTTCAAAAGTTTTTTTTTCTTACTATAAAACTTTTTTCTATATCAGTTTAACACTTTTTTCTATATATGTTTAACAGTTTTAATATATATACATCAGTTTTATAATTAACTTAACAAAGCGCACGTAATAAAAATACAAACGACCGAGTCAACTCCGACGACGAGTGAGGCCGGACTGCGGCTGAGGAAACGAGGGCGAAGCGCGGGCAGTCGCTGTCTACGGTCGTCGCCGGGGACTAGCAGCCGATATTGACCGTAGGAATTGCGCCACCATGGCCCACCACCGCGGAAAAATATGGGAACTCCCGAGTTGCAAAGGAGTCACCCGACAACTGACATCATAGCTTACGAAACTTCATTGAAAACTCACACAATCCAAGTTCCTGGCTATGGCCGTCTGATCTGAATATCTAAATGCATTAATGGCCGTCTGATCTGAATATCTAAATGCATTAATGGCTAATAAGTTTATTTATTTATTTATTTTACAAAAGAATATAAGTATGAAGGTTAAGATTATAATTGTTTTGCTCAAGATGTTTAACTTGGCTGGTGGACGAGCACGGTTGGCATCGACGGGGGCAAGGGGGACGTGCCCCTCCTACAAAAATTGAAAACAAAAAAATGATAGAGAATCTAGAGATAAACTCAAGTTGAAAACTTCAGAAATTAAATCGGAGACCATCTGAACTTCAATTTCAGCAAACTTACAGTTGAACAGAACGTCTCAAAAATACGAACCCAACGGCACAAAATTCGACTCAATCTGAACATAAATGACTCCAAATCAAAGGCCTGAAGAATATTTGGAATGTTTAAACCATAATTTGGATTACCAAAACATAACATGCTTATAATCGAATTGAGCGGCTAGACAAGACAAATCCAACGAGCCCACGATTGCCGAATTCTGATATCACTAAGATATTTAAATACCCAATAAACAGTCCACGATCAAGAGGTTCAACATTGGTAGTCCATTCAAATAACTCCCAATTTTATTTCTTATTCATTTACATTTTTTTTCTTAGTTGATATTAGCTTAATCCTGTATTGATTCGATCTTAAAAAGATTTTATGATTTTTTTTGTGCAATGAGATTTTTAATATCACATATTTAGTTAATATATTTAACTCATTCTAGTGATTTGATGATTGGAAGTCATTTTATGAAGGAAAAAAATAAACTAATTAACTATCAAAGTTTTATCATTTTTAAAGCTGATTATAACAGTCTTTAGCCCGAATGTAAAAAGTTGAAAGAAAATAAAATAAAAATTAATTTAGCACCCCCCCTTAAATACATTTTCGGGCTCCGCCTCTTGTTGTTTGGTACCCCCATCCCGTGTTCGATTCCCTCGAGCGGCAGCGCCCCTTTCAGGGGGACCCAATAAGCATTGGTCGGCCATGAGTTCTAACGGGTGTGGGTAGCTCGTCTAGGCTGTTAGGGTTTACGTATCACCAAATGATCTCGGCTAGCTCGGGGTGACATCGGACGGTTCCTCGTCACAAAAAAAAAACTTAAAAAATAAAATAAACATGATTAGAATTTGTACGTGCTTTGTCACATTTGAGAGTGTAAAAAAATGAGATATTTATTTAGGGTCCATTAAGTTTAATTTTAATTTATTTAAAATGATAAAATATATAAGTTAGAAAAGGGAGACAGATAAATCAAAGATTTTTTATATGAGCTACAAAATATTTGGTGAATTGGTAATCCATTACTATTGTACGTATTAATAAAGATTGTTAGCATATTAATTGTTAAAATTATTTGAGTAGTATCACAATCTTATTGATACCCTTGAGACAAAGAACAACTATTAGAGAGATAAAATAAAATGATAGAATGATAATATTTAATCTCAGAAATCTCGCTAAACTAGTTTGAGTACAAATAATTATGATAATTAAACTCAGAAATCCTCTAAATACATGTATTATGGCTTGTTCATAAAAATCTCATACGTATTTTCAATATGTTTTAAGTATTTATTATTAAAAAAAACAATGTCTTTCTTTTTTATTTTAATTAACTAAATTATTATTTATCTTATAAAACTTAATGTTATGATGTAAAAGTTATTGATATATTTCTCTTATGTGATATATTTTAAACTAAAATTAGAATCAAATTTATGGTTTAATGTGTCATTATGATGATTTATGATTTTAGTTTTTATTGTTTTTGATTTTAAGTAAAAGTTAACTTGGAACATAAATAGTGCACACCGCTATTTCCAGCATCCAACCTTTATTTTTTATTGATCTAAAATTTTGTTTAATGTTATGTAATTCATATAAGTATATTTGGGCATCCATAAGTTCTAATTACTATAATAGGCAATAATTTGCAAGTCAAATGTAACATTTAATTTCTCTTACGAAGAATGATTTTCTTAACATAAAAATGGCAGTCCATCGTCATCGTTTCCAATAGTCCCAAAAGAGACCTTTATACTTACCTTGAATTTATGTGACTAACATAGAACTCCAACTTATGAATCATTAATGATATTTTTGTGCTCTGGTTGAGGAATATACTTTAGCACCAAAATTATGATCTATTATGACCATTTCTCAAATACATTAATTTCAACCTCTTAGGTTTTTATAAGTATTTGTAGAGATTCCACTCAATAAAACTTTTGTTGTAATAATATTTTTGAGAGCTTTAAGAAAATACATTATATTCATACATACTACTAACAATCACCATCTCACCATTAATGGATCAACACCATATGCAATTGGTAGTTGGTCTAACTCTAATTCACCCAAAATCCAAATGGATTGATTAGATAAGTCAAAGAGATATATAATCCATTGAATTCTTGTTGATGGTATCGCATGATCGAATACATCTATTATTTGTAATAATAAAAAATATTTTAATATAATTTTAACATCCCTTAGATATATACATTATTCCTACTCATATAAGTCATTCTATACTTAAGAATTTCATATGATTTTAAAGCTTCGTTAAAGTGTTCAATCATCTTTGTTGGTATTCTCAAATGCTTCAAATGATTTTTCCCCATCCTTCCAATCCAAATAAAATGAAAGAAGATAAATCTTAACAAACAAATTATCCTAGTGATCAAAGATCATCCAAAAAATTCAACAAATCAAATCATTCAAGCCACCATCCCTCCAGTCTTGAAAAAGATTATCCCAGCACGCTCTAGTCAGTTGTTAGCTCAATTTATCTATCGAGTATCGACTCTAATTATTTGATTCGCTCTCCTCCTTTTAAGAGAAGAATAGTCTCTGAATTTTTTATGGAAACCAACATCAATGAACTTTTTATTAACAACTTCGCCTCAAATGAGATTTATTTCAAGGCCATAATTTTTTAAGTGCTCACCATCTTCTAAGAAGAGAAACCAATTATAATAAAGCTCAAAATAATTGAGAATTTTTATCATGTAATATTATTCTTTTATGATTTTGGAAATTAAAAATATATATTTTTTATTTCCATTTTATTATGTGCGCAATAATGCAATAGATATCTCATATTGAAACAATCAATGAATAAGACAAGCATAGCCGCCATATAAGCAAAGAGGTTACGATGATTTCATTTTAATTTAAATAGGCAGTGGCATTGCTCTATTTATCTTTCCTTCATTTATATAAAATTTTAAATATTCGCATAATTTTCCCAAAAAAAAATTCGAACAGTGTAATTCCAACGTGCGGCGTGGGTGTTTATATGGTGGCCAAGTTGTGCGAGTGGTGCACTATCTTAAGCACACGGCACGTGTCATTTGTCCACCCTTCTGAACATATAGTACATGCACCTATTCGATGTTTCTAGAAAGACACGTCGTTTATGCATTACACGTGTCCATTGGTCACAAACAGTGGTCTGAAATACGGTACAATAAGGAAACGCCATGTTTACTGGTAACTATTACAAAGAAAACCAGCCAGTTTTAACAGGCGACGGCCCTAGCCGAGGAAGAGTCACGAAGATGAGTAGATGCGGTGCCACGTGGCCCACACCAATCCCGTTTGAACAAAATACAAATCCACGTTGCCGTTTTTTGGTTCGATCCAACATTAATCGCCACGTGGGTAATGCTGTCTCACGTGCGGAGCAGTGCGCACTCGCACACCGGTCCCCCCGGCCAACCGCCACCGCCACAAACCGTCCTCCGAAATCTGAAAACCACCGCCATTTCACACCGCCATCAATCTATCCACGATTGCAAAGTAAAATTCTTATTATTCCATTCCCAACTATAGAAATCCACTCTTTCCATCTCTGCCAACTTTTCACTTGATATTTACATTTTTACACAAGCTTTAATCTAAGATCAAACTTAGTATTACTAGAAAAAAACGTTTCTTTCTATCTATGACATCTTCTCCTTCCTCGGCGCAAAGTGCCGGCGAGTTGGAAGCCATCTTCTTCTATGCATATAATTATAGGTGAAGACAACACAGTGAAGCGAGATGCAGTTGGGATTTCGTCTTGCTTTTCTAAAATTCAAGGATAAGGCTACTGAAAGGGGCTCGATGCGGAATGCCCTTCCTCCTCTTAGTGCTGCGGAAGCTAACAACGGTCGGCGGCGGTGTTGAAGGGTTGAAGCTCTGCACCACCGTGCTCTTCTCGCTGCCATGGCTCGTACTTGAGTAGGACTCCTCGGAGCCCGATGCCGTAGTTACTCGATTCTTCATCCTCTTCTTCTTCATGTTGGGGTCATTAGAAGTGCCAACTACCTGCAAAACCATGAGCGTTTTAGAGAAAGGAGATTAAGAAGTAATGGCGGTGATTAGAATGAGAAGAAAAAGGGAAAAAAGATGGGACCTTGCAGCCAAGTGAGCAGAAGCGGAAGGAGTCGAGGAGGCTCCTCTCACAAACCTCGCAGGTGTTGGTGACGCCTTTTCCGGGCCTTGGCTGTGGCCGCTCGTTGAGGAAGACAACGCGGGCGCTATTGATGATGTAGGTTTGCACACCGCTGATGTCAAGAACTTTTTGTATCTCCGAAACTCTTATAACATCGTGGTATGATGACCTCCTTATCTGCATTCATGAAGACAGTCAAACGATTTCCTCTCAATTGCAGGCTTGCAACAAAACAGAAAATTAATTGCTCTGCCGTCACCGGAAGAAATCTGAGCAGACGCTGAAAAATGAATAAAAATAGAGACCTGAATTGCCCGGTGGTCGCGGTGGTAGGCGAGGCAGAGGGAACAGAGCGCGCCATTAGTGCAGTCGAGGCAATACATATTACACTCGCTCTTGTGCGAATCAGCGTGATGCTTGCATTGAACAAAGAAGCGAGTCGAGAGGAGGGGCCTCAGCCATGGAGGCCACCGGTTCTCATCTTCTCCTCCTGGTCCACCCTGTTATAACCATCAAATACCAGTGATCAGACAATCATCTTCATTTGAGCCAAAGAAATAACATAATAACCGAAGCGCTAAGCTTACTACTCACCATGGCTTTCCTGTACTGTTTCAGCTCCTTGAACGGGGAATACTGATCAATAGCCAGCTTTTCGACCCGAGGGCTTTCTCAGTTTTATGAGAAGTGCGGGAAAAGAGAGAGCTTTCTCTGTTTCAGAAGAGGAGAAATTAGGAGAAAGAGAGCTCAAAAGAGAACGAGTAGGAGAAGGAGAGGTTTTGTAGAAGAAGAAAAGGGGTTTGATGAGTTCGGTTGTTCTTATCCGCTCGAAGTCTCCGCTCCGAGCCTTTGCCTCAGCGACCGACCCTCGCAAGATGCTTTGTTTGCAAGGAAACCCTTTTTTTTTTTTCTATGGCTACCCACTTCCATTATTTATCACTTTGCCCCCCTTGAATTTAGAATAATTGAAGTGTTGCGAAGCAAGTTTGCAACTTCTTTCTTCATTCATTGGGTCATCTATGGCCACACAGTGTCAGCCAACTGCATCATTGTCATTGACGATTGTAGATAATTTCCATGTCTTAATCATCTCTACCCAGTTGCTATGCTTTACAACATCATCGAATACTTTTTAACTCTCTAGTGGACATGAGAAATACGGAAGCTTTTCACTACATCTTCTCCCTTTCGTTTTTTTCCTATTTTCTTTTTTGTTTGAGCTCGTCATATCTGTCATAAAGAGGTGACCGTTACCTGTAATTTTTTGTATAATACATTATTTAAGGTGATGAGATTTTGTATCCATTGCTCGAAGTTAATACAGTGTAGATAATAAGCCAAAAATGAGTGAAAGCCTCCCAATGGAATTTTTCTTTGGTAGAAGCCTTTAAAGTTGAAAGCAATTCTGTGAGCGGAGAATATATAGATGATAATATGAAAAGGGGCTCCATCTCCCACAAGCTACAAAATGGGATCATTTTTCAAGTGATTGAATGAAGTCAGAAGAATAGAGGATAGAATAGAAAGGATGGTTTTCGTGTGGACTTGATATGAATGAATCAGGATGTAACTACGAATAGTTAGGGCTCTCCACGACAATTCTTCTCCTCCTTTAATTTGGGTGGAACTATTTTGCTGGATTCAATATTGTTGCTGAAAAAAATGAAGATCTTACTATAATTATTGATTAATGCAAAATGTTATTTTTTTTTCGAAACAAAATTTTATTCCAAATATGAAAGGACAGTGCAAGCAAGATCCGAAAATCAAAATACATCAAAGAAGGGACATGAAAGCAAAAGCAACAAAACAAAGGACAGAGAATCAAGGATGCATGAAAATGAGTCAATAACAAACTCAGGGTGTCAGCCCCGCGGAACAACCCCGCAACCAGGCACGGGCCATCCATTGGTGGCAAACACAGACGAAACCACATAATCAACCTAGGCAACCTGATGTAAAACCGGGGGGTGAGGTTAATTAGAGAGGCATTTTATGCCTACTTAAAATAATAAATTAAGTTTGGAAATAAGTAATTAATCATCTCTTAATTTAAAATTGAAATAGGAATCAAATTATGAAGTTTCCAAAAATAGATTTCATAATTTTGGTAACTCCCTTCATGCTCAAATTGGATTTGATTAGAGACATTAAGGGCTTGATTATGATGATATTAATGAGCTAATTAATTAAATGGGGAAGGGGGAGGGGGATGGCCAAAGAGGGGAGAGAGGAGGAGTCTAGGTTCAATGTATGTGAATCCATGGCTTTAATTATTGATTGGAAATCAGATTTAAAATCTGATTCTAGATTTTATTTAAAGGAAAGAAATTTCCTAAACAAATTCATCAATTAAGAAAGTATTTAAATTCAAATCATTTTAATAATGATTTGAATTTGAATAGGAAACTTTCCTAATCAATAAGAAAATATTTTAGGAAAGCCATTAAGAGGAGTTTGAAATTTGAAATTTAAAATTCATGGGATTTTGGAGGGGTGTCGAATTCACTTTCCTAATTAGGATTTATTAATTAGGATGTGATTTAATGTCAAATCCAAATCAAATTAATTTTAAATTTGATTTTAAAAACTTTCCTAAAATAGGATTCTATTTTAAGAAAGGTTTCAATTTTGAATTAATTGATTTAAAATTAAATGACTTTCCCAAAGAAGTTAAGCAAGAAAGGAAATCATTCAAGTGAAGATTGGAGAATTGGAAGCAAGGGAGGGGGCTGGCAACCGACGACTTGGCTAGCGGTGGTGGAGATGGGCCAGCGGTTAAGTGGACTTTAAGGGGCTGATTTGGAGGTGGTGGTATGTTAAGGTTGGTGGTTATGGGAGGATTAGGTGGCCGGCGGTAAGGAATTTGGTGACGCCATAGGCCGACAGCTTGGGGTGGAGAGAGGAGAGGAGGAGAAAAGGATTAGGAAAAGAAAGATACAACAGTGAGCCCGGACACATCCTGCAGCTGATGGGTAGTACGTTGCCCTTCTCCAAGGGAATTCACACCATGAGCCCGGACCCATTCTGCGGCTAGTGGAAACTTTGATTCCCTCCCATAGGAATCTCACCCAAGTTCTCTCCGAAGAACACAAGTGCAAATAAAATTTTATTAATAATCCATCATTACATTACACAAGCAAGGGTTTTTATATATAAGCATAATAAACTAAAATAAGACACATATGTCCTTAGGGCTTACATAGGACGACCCTTTTAAGTAAGGGTAAAAAGGGAAAATTCATAATAAAAAATAAAAATTACAAATAACAAATAACAAATTAAGATAATGTGGAATATTCTTGGCCGTCGATCATCGTCTCCTCCTTTAAAAATCTTCATGATCGGATGTCTGCATCATTCTCCCGGGGTGGAAAAGAACTCGACTCCATCGAGTCTGCACCCCGGGTAACCATGCTCTGATAGATGTAGAACGAAGGAGCCGGAGGGGGGGGGCGGGGGGGGGGCAATTAAATAGGATTTTATGCCTACTTAAAATAATAAATTATGTTGGAATTAAGTAATTAATCTCTCTTAATTTAAAAATTTAAATAGGAATTAAATTAGGAAGTTTCCAAAAATAGATTCATAATTTTGGTAACTCCCTTCATGCTCAAATTGGATTTGATTAGAGACATTAAGGGATTGATGAGGGTGATATTAATGAGCTAATAATTAAATGGGGAAGGGGAGGGGGCGGCCAAAGAGGGAGAGAGAGTGAGTCTAGGTTCAATAGTATGTGAACCCATGCTTTAATTATTGATTGGAATCAGATTTAAAATCTGATTTCATATTTATTTAAAGGAAAGAATTTTTAATAACATCAATTAGAATTTTATTTAAATCATATTTTTTAGGAATTCTATCAATAAGAAAATATTAGGAAGCGATTAGAGGAGTTTGAAATTTGAAATTTAAAATTCATGGGATTTTTAGGGGTGGCGAATTCACTTTCCTAATTAGGATTTACTAATTAGGAAGATTTAATGTCCAAATCCAAATCAAATTAATTTTAATTTGATTTTTAAAAATTTCCTAAAATATGATTCTATTTTAGGAAGGTTTCAATTTTCAATTAATTGATTTAAAATTAAATGGACTTTCCCAAAGAAGTTAAGAAGAAAGGAAATCATTCAAGTGAAGATTGGAGAATTGAGTCAAGGGGGGGAGATGGAAACCAACGGCTTGCTAGGGGTGGGGAGATGGGCCAGCAGTTGGTGACTTTAAGGGGCTGATTTGGAGATGTGTCGTATGTTGAGTTGGTGGGTATGGAGGATTAGGGCCGGCGGTAAGGAATTTGGTGACGCCTCAGGCCCGGCGGTTGGGTGAGACACTACAGGAAAACTGCCTATTACCGACGGAATTTCCCTCGGATTTCTGACGGATACAGATAAAATTTTCGACTAATTTTCATGTTCGCAGATTTTTTTCCAACGATTTTCGACAAAATTTTCGCGGATATAAATTTTTATGAAAAAAATTATATATCCTAATTAATATTTATAGCTTATTCTAATTAATTATAAATTTAATAATTTATTTTAATTAATTAATAATTTGATAAATTATTATAATTAATTTTAATATAATAAATAATTATAATTAAGAATTAATAATAAAATAATAATTTATTACTAACTTTAATATTTATTTTTTAAAGTGTTTTTAAAATATAAAAGTTACTATATTAATAATTAATTTTAATATAAAACTAAATAACTTATTTTACTTAATTTTAATAGATAACTTATTTTAGTTATTTATTAATTTTAATATTTTATTTAATAGTTAACTGAAATATTTTAATATATTATTTTTAATAATTAAAATAAGTTTTAATTTTATTTCTTCAATTATATATATAAATTTTAAATAGTTTCGCTTATAACAGATTTTGCTCCTCTTCTAACTGGTTGAGCACTTAAAATCCAAACAGGGAGGTCTGTGGTTCGAATCACGGGAGCTCCAGTGCACGGTACTGGCGCGGGTTCGCCCTCACGGGCGCAGAGCGGCTTGTTCGCGCGCAGCTGCGGGTTCGGGCTTGGGTTCGTGCCAGCGGCGGAGCAGCGAGATTCGCGCGCAGCGGCGGAGCGGTGGGGTTCGCGCGCAACGACGGAGTGTCTGCCAAACCCATGGTGGCAGATTCGAGCGCGGGAGCGCAGCGACGGGTTCACATTAGGGTATGCGGGTAGAAATTTATTTTTTAAAATGTTTGATTTATTCATACAAAGTTTTTTACACCGAAAAATATATGGCAGAATAATTCCGTCGGAAAAAAACTTATGGCAAATTTCTTACGATGGAAAAATTTTCCGACGCTCGATTACCGAAAAACAAAATTTCATCAGAAATCCCTCGGAAACTTTCAAAATACGCTGAAAAATATTAAAAATTTCGCCGGAAATAAGAAATTTTCCTATAGTGAGAGAGGGGAGGACGAGAAAAGGATTTAGGAAAAGAAAGATACAACTGTGAGCCCGGACACATCCTAAAGCTGACGGGTAGTACGTTGCCCTTCTCTAAGGGACTTCACACCACGAGCTCGAACCCATCCTGCGGCTGGTGGAAACTCCGATTCTCTCTCATAGGAATCTCACCCATGTTCTCTCCAAAGAACACAAGTGCAAACAAAATTTCATTAATAATCCATCATTATATTACATAAGCAAGGGCCTCTATATATAAGCCTAAGAAACTATAATAAGACACATATGCCTCTAAGGCTTACATAGGACGACCCTTTTAAGTAAGGGTAAAAGGGAAAACTCAGAACAAAAAAATAAAAATTATAAATAACAATTTAAGATAAGGTGGAATGTTCTCGGTCGTCGATCATCATCTCCTTCTTTAAAAATCTTCATGATCGGATGTTCGCATCACAACCACCAAGAAGAAGGCTTTCCACCAAGGTTGCCAACAAGG